TGCTCTCTCTCTCAATAAAGAGATAAACTTAAAAAAAAAAAAAAAAAGAATTGTAACAGTGACCTAAGTGCAAAGAAAGATGTAAATGTAAGGTAGAGAGGTGGCATAGAGAAGGGAGCAATTAGCTTTGTGGGGAGCAAGTTGGATGTCAAGAAAAGCATCATAGAAGAGTAATATTTGAGCCAGACAGATCTGGACAGATACTGGTTGGGGGTGGAAATGCTCCCTCTGCCAGAGCACAAACCATCAGAAATGATAGCTTAGAAATAATGTGAGGAAAGAAGGAATCCTATTTCTTCATATGCTAAGAAGTTTAATTTTGTTTCCTCTTTTAGGTAAAACTGCCTCCAGGTCTCATCTAAGACATCTTTTTTTATTATTATTAAATATAATTTATTGTCAAATTGGTTTCCATACAACACCCAGTGCTCATTCCAACAAGGGCCCTCTTCAACGCCCATTACCCACTTTCCCTTCTCCCCCACCCCCCATCAACCCTCAGCTTGTTGTCAGTATTTAAGAGTCTCTTATGGTTTGCCTCCCTTTCTCTAACTTTTTTTCCCCCCTTTCTTCTCCCCCATGGTCTTCTGTTAAGTTTCTCAGGATCCACATATGGGTGAAAACATGGTAAGACATGATCTTTTTGAGAACCATGAAAACAAAACCTGGCTATGATGATTACTCAGAGATTATTAGGGTAGAAACTTGAGTTATATAGGATTTTTAATTCTACATAGAATTCAGGAAAACAGTAGATTTTCTATGAATAGATGACCAGTGTTTGTTTTGTCATATCCTTTTCTTTTGAATTTAGAATGACCATTTTGGACCTACTGTTATCAATGCATAATAATATCAGAATGCTTCCTAAAACTGTTGAGGAAAACAAATTAAAACTTAGATTTATATAAAATACACATAATCGCAAAATGAGCAAATAACCCTGCAAATGAAATACTATCTGGGAATTTCTGATGATAACATTGAATCTTTTCACAAAAAATCTTTTGATGTATTCTAATTTTGAAAAATCAGTTGCTTATATAAAGCAAATATAAGGAGAAATCATCTTTATACTACTATATCTTATAAAAGGAAAAAAATTCATTTGGAGACTATGCATATACAAGCAATATTCATTTAGTATTTATTTTATTTTAAAAGCCACTGAGTGGTTGTGCCTGGGTGGCTCAGTTGGTTGAGCATCTGACTCTTCTTTTCAGTTTAGATCATAATCCCAGGCTTTTGGGGTTGAGCCCCGTGACAGGGTCTGTGCTAACTTGCACAGAGCCTGGTTGGGATTCTCTTTCTCTCTGCTCTTCACTTATTCGTGCTCTCTCTCTCTCTCAAAATAAATTTTAAAAACTTACAAAGATTCTCTCTCCCCCTCTTGCACTCATGCACGCTCTCTCTAAAATAAAAATAAAAAAGCCACTAAATGGAATCCGGTTTCAGAAAGCAAGTAAAAAAATAAACCTTCAGGGGCGCCTGGGTGGCTCAGTCGGTTAAGTAGCCAACCCCGGCTCAGGTCATGATCTCACGGTCCGTGAGTTCAAGCCCCGCATTGGGCTCTGTGCTGACAGCTCAGAGCCTGAAGCCTGTTTCAGATTCTGTGTCTCCCTCTCTCTGACCTCCCCCGTTATGCTCTGTCTCTCTCTGTCTCAAAAATAAATAAACGTTAAAAAAAATTTTAAAAATAAACCTTAATGTGTAATTAATATTTTATCTCTTTTCCTTGTTTTTATTAAGCTTTTTATTTTAACTCCAGTATAGTTATCATAGTGTTATATTAGTTTCAGGTGTATAATATAGTGATTCAACGATTCCATACATCACCCAGTGCTCATCACAAGTGTACACCTTAAATCACCGATTTCACCCATCCACCCAACCTCCTCCCCTATGGTAACCATGTTTTTTCTCTGTAGTTAAGAGTTTCTTAGTTTGCCCTTCTTTTTCCTTTGCTTGTTGGTTTTGTTTCTTAAATTCTACATATGAATGAAATCATGGCATTTGTCTTTCTCTGACTTAAAATTTAACTCAGCATTATACTGTAGCTCCATCCATGTCATTGCAAGTGGCAAGATTTCATTCCTTTTTATGGTTAAATAACATGTCATTGTGTATGTATATGTATATGTGTATATACACATCTATTTCACATCTTCATTCATTTATCAATGGATACTTGGGCTGTTTCCATAGTTTGGCTATTATAAATAATGCTGCAACAAACATAGGGATTGCATGTATCTCTTTGAATTAGTGCTTTTGTATTTTGGAGGTAAATACCCAGTAGTGTGATTACTAGATTGTAGGGTAGTTGTATTTTTGAGGTAGTAGCTTTTTGAGGAAACTCCATACCATTTTCCACAGTGGCTGCACCAGTTTGCATTCCCACCAACAGTGCAAGAGGGTTCCTTTTTCTCCACATCCTCCCCAACACTTGCCTTTTCTTGTGTTTTTGATTTTAAGCTAAGTATATCTTTAATGACACCCCGACCTGGGGGGGGGGGGGAGATGGTATTGCTTAATTGAATTAGATAGACTATTTTTGTTCCATTATCCACCAATATTCACAGATTTGAAGAAGTAAATTATTTTCTGGCAGTCTATTAAAATGGCAAGACAAAAAATCCACCATAGCAATCCTTTGACATTAAAATGACTAAATGATCTTTATTTTAAAGGAGGAGGGGTGCCTGTGTGGCTCAGTTGGTTGAGTGTCTGACTTCAGCTCAGGTCATGATCTTGCAGTTTGAGTTCAAGCTCCACATGGGGCTCTCTGCTGTCAGCACAGAGCCTGCTTAGATCCTCTTTCCCCCCTCTTTCTCTGGCCCTCGCCCATTCATCTTCACTCTCTCAAAAATAAATATAAAAAAAGTTTTTTTAAAGCAGGAATATATGTGTCAGAGAGGTCAAGTTACTTGACCAGATTTCATGCAGCCAGTAAATAGAGTCACAATTTGAATTTGGATGTATCGTTGTCTAGAGGTCAAGTTCTTAACTAGTACATATATATTTTGCCAATTGGCATCCAGAAGAACGATGTATTTATAAATGTGAAGAATAAGTTTGGAGATGTCTTCATATACAATGTTATATATAAATTTAAGTGGCATTTATTGGTACCAAATTACCATGTTAGGTTCAGCTTTGCATGTTCTTGCCTTTAAAATTGATTTCCATGCAAATTGGTGCAGCCACTCTGGAAAGCAGTGTGGAGGTTCCTCAGAAAATTAAAAATAGACCTACCCTATGACCCAGCAATAGCACTGCTGGGAATTTATCCAAGGGACACAGGAGTGCTGATGCATAGGGGCACTTGTACCCCAATGTTCATAGCAGCACTCTCAACAATAGCCAAATTATGGAAAGAGCCTAAATGTCCATCAACTGATGAATGGATAAAGAAATTGTGGTTTATATACACTATGGAATACTACGTGGCAATGAGAAAAAATGAAATATGGCCTTTTGTAGCAACGTGGATGGAACTGGAGAGTGTGATGCTAAGTGAAATAAGCCATACAGAGAAAGACCGATACCATATGGTTTCACTCTTATGTGGATCCTGAGAAACTTGACAGGAACCCATGGGGGAGGGGAAGGAAAAAAAAAAAAAAGGTTAGAGTGGGAGAGAGCCAAAGCATAAGAGACTGTTGAGAACTGAGAGCAAACTGAGGGTTGATGGGGGGTGGGAGGGAGGAGAGGGTGGGTGATGGGTATTGAGGAGGGCACCTTTTGGGATGAGCACTGGGTGTTGTATGGAAACCAATTTGACAATAAATTTCATATATAAATAAAAATAAATAAAAAAAAAGAATAAAATTGATTTCCATATTAGTATCCCACAAAATGTAATATATGCATAATAATTATATGCATAATAATATATGTGTTCTTTAAAGATTCTTTTCATATAGGAATTGTATGAGCAAAAGGAAACTTTAGAAATTATCCTGTTATTCACTCATGTCATTTGAATTATCACATTATTCATGTTATTAAAGGAAACCACAACCCAGACAGCTTAAATATTGAGTATGAAGGTGTACAGCCAATTGATGAAGATAGGACACATGCCTCTGAGTAATAAAGACTACAGAGAAATGGGTGTGCCTCGGTGGTTCAGTCAGTTAAGTGTCCAACTTCAGCTCAGGTTATGATCTCATGGTTCATGGGTTCAAGCCCCATGTCAAGCTCTGTGCTGACAGCTCAGAGCCTGGAGCCTGCTTTAGATTCTGTGTCTCCCTTTCTCTCTGATCCTCCCCTGCTCGTGCTCTTGTCTCTGTCTCTCAAAAATAAATAAATGTTAAAAAAAAAAAAAAAGACTACAGAGAATGATCTTGTTAGGTACAATCTGATAGAAAGTTGAGAAACATGTCAATTCTATGGATAGTTAGTAAAAGTATAGACAACATGCCTGGGAATTACTAATACCAAATTAAGTTCAATGGTTGTTTCAGGGGGAGGAAACCATACTTTTTAAAATCTGTCTATAACACTTCACATTTAAAAAAATCATCCTAATGTCTCTAATTGTAGCCTTACTTGAATCAACACAAATGTAATATGGGAGAGAGCATGTTTAGCTAGCCACATGTAAGTAAATATTAGTGTGGGCATCTGGGAAGATAGCTCACCATACCCTCACTAACTACCTGACTTGTTAACTGACCTGTTACTTCTGACTTCCTTGATAAGATCAAACAAATTACTGAGAAAGTAGAACACCTTGAAGAAATGGAGCTATTTCCATGGCATCAAGTTCAGTAAATCCCTAATCCTTAATGAGAGTAAAACAGTACAGGGGCACCTGGATGGCTTAGTCGGTTGAGCATCCAACTCTTGATTTCGGCTCAGCTCATGATCTCACAGTAGTGGAATCGAGCCCCACATCTGAGGGTTGAGCATGGAGCCTCTGTGGGATTCTCTCTCCCTCTCTCTGCCCTCCCCCCACAAACTCTCTCTCAAATAAGTAAAACAGTACAAAAGTATAGAATTCTTAGTATGTTTTTAAATATCAATTGAAGTTTTATTTAAGAGATAAACCAGAGGTTTGCTTGATAGTGCAAAAGATTGTTGCTGTTTATTGCTCTGGGATTGCAGATTTGTGAAGCTCCATATTCCAAGATATCTAATGGTCGTCTTTTCTAGTTCACTTGTAGAAGCCTACCGTGGAGGAAAACACTTTACACTACGATAAATCTGTTGATAGAAAATTAAATAACACTTCTATAAATGTTTGTACTTCTAGATGAAATTAAATCCTCCCATATAAAAATATTTTAATGGTGTTAAATTGTTTTCTAAAAACTTATTTATGAAACACTACATTTTAACTACTGTGGGTGCCTATTTATTTAAGGTACTAACTAGTACAAGGCATTTAAATATTTTCTTACCAACAGCTAAAGGAGGATTAATTCACTCTACAAACATTTATCAAATATATGATTAAGGAAACCTGATTCGAAGAGTGTCAGTAGCTTAACCTTGTTTGCTGAAACCATTCTTATACTCTGCTGCCACTTACCCGCTTTTCTTAGTGACCTGTGAAGGAAAAGTGATTATGTATGAATGCTACATTTTATGGTGTCTTGTGTATCTAAGTAATTTTCTCCAAGTAAGTGAACAAAGCCAACACCCCTTGCCCACAGTCACTTCTCTGACTTTCTGGTATATTTCTTGGAGGGCCTTTCTCTGCTTCAGATTGGGCTGAAAAACTATTTCATATCCTCTTAAGTTAAACTTCATCCTGTTTGAAACAAGCATTTTCTAAAATATCCCAAGTAACTTAACATATGTTTCATGATAACATTATGAAAGTCGTTTTGCTTACTCTATTAGAATAATTTATTCTTTGGGAAGAAAGGTGTTCAATTCTTTTCAGGTATTTTATACAGTATCCTTCAGTTGTCAATTAGCTGTCTTTGCTTCTGTTCATTTATTGATTGAATGCACATTCAGAATGCAGTATGTATTAGGCACTGTGTTAAAAGAGATAAAGCTACTAAACAGCCTAAATGTACCTTGGAGGAGCTAAGGATCCAATGGGGAAGACAGAGAAATAATTACAATTATTGAGAGCAGAGGTATGTCCTTACGTGGGACGCCAAACTTAGCACGAGTTAGTCAGGAAAGATCTGAGGAAGTACAGCAGTTATCCTTATTGCCAAATGCTAATTCTTACCCTTTTAAGGATCTGGACTTTGAGAATCTGAGGAAAGCTGTGGACTCTCTCTGAGGTTGCTGCCCCCCATGGGGTTAATGAGGTTGAAACTAACAGGAAATCTAAAGTTTTTCAGAGGCCTGTTTCTCCCTAATCAGCTATTGTTTGTTTTCAGACCCCACTAACAAATCCACTAGGGAGACCTGGGCTAAAAAGTCACAGATAAGTTCCCGCCTATGAACAGCAAGGCCCTGTCTTCCTTACCCTAGATAATGTGCCCAAGACCCCATCCATTTTGATCTAGGCTCTCTTGGAACATGCCCATAGCCCCTGTGTCCTAAGATGACCTCCTGACAGTAGAGGCTGAATTGTGCCTCATTTTAAGTCTCCACCTCAAAGTGAGTATGCTCAGTGTGCATGCCCCATCTTTCCTCATGAATTACCATAAATTTCTCCACCTTTTTCATCAGCATATATGTAATCACAACCCCTTCTAGGAGGCAGATTTGAAGCTTGCCCTTTTATCTCTTTGGCTGCCTCTGGAATAAACCCTTTCCTTGCAAATATGACGTCTCAGTGATTGGCTGTGTGTGCTTTGGGCAGTGGAACTTGGCTTTGGTTACATTTCCAACAATTAGAAAAAAAAAAAAGATACCGAAAGTTTGCTTATTATTTCAGGTATTCACCTGTTCGTTGAAACCCCATGTATCTCAGTAAGAATCCCTAAAGATATCTCAATTTTTTTCGATCCAAATTAACTCTAGTATAAATAGCCTATTCTTTTTCCTATTCTAAAACCACTTTCTGGTTTTTTAGGTAAGTATTTTGTAATATTATAGAATCTCACTCCATCTTTCGTGATCTTACAGACTTTAGTTATCACCTGGAGTGTAAGCTTTTTTCCTCGCTAGCCTATGTCACAGTTGTAGTTCATACTTTGTGGAGCTTTAGAAAAGTTGATAGGATTTTTTGAATCACCTTTAAAAAGAAAGCACTTTGAATTTATACTATCTTACACCAGTAACAATTTACTTTTGCCTTGTTTCCAATTTTTTTCTTCAATTTTTAGGCTTAAATTTTGCCTTTTACTTTTGAAGACTCATTTATGACAACAAATTTAGGTTATGTGTATGTGCATTTGAGGTCAGTTATTAACAGTTGCTAACTTAATCATCTTTAAACCTGTAAGAGTTAAAATATAACACACGAACAGTTACCGCGTGCGGGCACTGGTACTGAGAAGCGCCCCGATTCAGGAATGACCGAGGCTCAGAAACATATAGCCCGGTAGAGATGGTCTCTCGGAGGGCCTGGCAGGTGCGGTGCCACCCCGGAGGCAGGGAGGGACCCGGGCTTAGGAAAGGAAACAGGGAATGCCTCAGAGGTCTCACAAACAGTTCCTTAATTCCGATATTCTGACCGGTTTGGTATTTGTTAGTAAACGAATTTGGTAGCGAAGGAACAGAAAGGGTCTAGGAGTTCATCAAAAAAACGGACCGAGAGCCGGGCTTCGGTGGGGTTCGGGAAGAGCCGGAGAGGGCGAGAACGCGGACGCCGGACGGAGATGCCGAAGGCAGCGCGGCTTCTGCGCGCGCCAGGCCGCCCGGTTTAAATCTCCCGCCTCCCGCAGCCGGAGCCCGACACCTCCACGCACGGGTGCGGAGGGGCACGGGCTGCGGGAGTGGCCCGCTGGCGTCGCGGGGCTTGCGGGTGGCGGCGCCGGGAACGGGTGCTGTGACGGACCTCCGCGCAGTTAAGCGCGACCCGAGGTGGCGGAGGACCGGCGCGTCGCGGTTCCAGCGTCGCGGTGAGAGTCTGCGGCCTCCCAGTGGCGGTCAGGCCGCGCCCTCTCCAGGCCTGGCGGGCCGGAGGCCAAACCCTCGTTTCCGTGGCGACGCCCTGAGGTGGAAGCGCGGCGGGAGGCGCCTGCCACGCGCGCACGCTGTCTCTCGAGGCCTCGCCGGCCCCTGCGGCCTCCCCCTGGGACGAAGTCCTGGTCCGCGCTCCTCCGGGCAGAACCCGCAAGGAGTGGTTTCTGGCGGGGCTGGGTCCTCTCCGGACGAAAGGAGCTTTCCTTCACGCCGCCCCGGTAGCGAACGTGCGCACCAGCCTGAGGCTTATTTGGGTGATTTCTCTGGAAGGTGGAGATCGCTTCCATTAGAGGCAGGTGTTCACAGCATTTAGGTGCTTTCCTGCTGACCTCTTTTTTCTGTTGTGTTTATTTTTATGTCATTATTTTGTGATGGAAACGCCTTCTTTAGAAACGAAGTGGCAAGCGTTTGGTAAAAACGAAACATAAGTAAATGTGCGGCGTAAGGCGAACCGCGGAATGCTAGCGCTCCCGAGGGGTTCCGCGCACAAATACTGCGGCCTGAGGCCGTGAACCCAGCCCCGTGCACCTATCCGGCTCTTGGAAACGCGGATCACCTGGTCGGGTGCCCAAATGATGTCAGTGGTCAGATACCTGATGCCTGAGAAAGATGGGAGAGGGGAAAAAAATCCGATCTGGCAACCAACCCGCGATGCTGTGGGTTTGCCGGTAGAGGGGGTGGGATTATTTTTCATGTAATAGATGATGTTAATGCGCAGAGCATGAAAGCTGTTATAAGCTATGGGTCACTGGGAAATAGCTTATTGGGAAGATCACGTTTGTCCATGGTTTTGGATTTTCTTTAAGCATTTATGTATTGATTTATTTAGTTTAGACTTAGACAATGTACTGTAAGGCGATATTACTTACATCATCTTAACATCAGTATTTATGAAGTAGCCACAGGTGCCTCATCTTTTAATAGGAGTTAATTACGCATTTATTGACCAAATAAACATCTGATGGTATGTATACATTTTTTATATGATGAAAAATTTTAATCGTTTTATATTTATCTGTGCCCATCATTACCAGTATTCTTTGAAATGTCTGTATTTAATAGCTCAGAATGATTGTGCATCTAGCCATTGAAACAGCAATGTGCAAGACATTGTTCTAATTATCAGTAATTTATAATTGCTAGACAAATCATCATAATTTTGGAGTTAAATGGGTGCCCAGAGATCAAGTGTGAAAGCTGCAAACATGAGACTGGTTGGGAAAACTAGGAAGCCACATTTTTTTATACATACTTATTATAAAGCAATTAATAAAACAAAATTTGTACCAGTGACTGAACTGGTACCAAATACTTCACTGTCAGACTTCATGATTTTATCGTGTCGTATGTCCTATATTTTACATTTTTGACTTTGTTGATTTTATTGATTTGCCTGTTTTCTATTTCACATATTTCATTCCTATTTTCATTTTTTTCTTTTACTTTGGATTTAATTTGTTCATCTTTTTCTAATTTATTGAGGTGGAAGCATAAATAATATATATTTTTCCCTTTTATGTAAGCATTTAAAGCTATAAGTTTTCCTCTAAGCATGCTTTAGCTACATCCCACAAACATGGGATATTTTCATTATCATTTAGTTAAAAATATTTAAAAGTTTAAGTTCTATGATCCCTTATTTATTTAGGTGTGCTATTTTATTTCCAAATATTTTGGAATTTTTTTAGGTAGTTCATTGCTATTGATTTCTAAATTAACAATGTCGTGCTCAGAAAACATGTATTATTTCAATACCTTTAAATTTATCGAGAATTTTTTCCTTGCCTAACCATAGGTTAGGCATAGTCTGTCTTGGTGAGTGTTCAGTTACCCTTGGGGGAAAATGTGTATTCTACTGGTGGTGGATGGAATAGTCTAAATGTCATTTAGGTCAAGCTGGTTGAGAGTGTTGCTTGAGCCTTTTATCTTCACATTTTAATGTCTCTTTATTCCATCAGTTACTCTGGGAGAAGTGTTAAGTTTTAGTTATGATTAACTATGATTGTAGATTTATCTATTTTCCCCTTCAGTTCTGTCAGTTTTTTAAAAATATTTGGTAGTGTTATCAGTCACATACACATTTAAGATAGCTGTGTCCTTTTGATAGATTGACCACTTTATCATTATTAAATGTCCATTCTATTCCCAAAAATACTTTTTACATGGAAGCCTGTCCTGTATGACATTAATACAAGCTTAATGTTTGCCTCTTGCTTTTTCCTTTTAACACATCTGTGTATTTATGTTTAAAATGTGTTTGTTATAAACTACATACAGTTGGTTTGTAGTTGTTTATCCAGTCTCACAACAACCTCTGTGTTTTAATAGTGGTATATAGTTCATTTTTTATTTTTATAACTTTTTTCTGTGTTTGGGTTAAGTATATTGGTATTCTTTTTCCATTTTTTCATTTATTCTTTAGTCTTCTTCCCTGCCTCCTTTTTGGATGAACTGAGCTTTTAGAAAAATATTTCTTGTCCTGTCTTTTTAGTTTTGTCTCTTCATGTTATTTTTTTATTGGTGGTACTAGAGATTTCATATGTATCTTAAATTTATCATAGCTTATTTTCAAATCTATTTTAGTATTTTATGAGCAGTGTAAGAATATTATCATTTATACTTGTAATGACCATCTCACCTTATGTGCCCTTACATACTTTACTTCTACATGTGTCCTATATTTTAAAAAATGTAATGAATCAATCTTTTAGTGAAATTTAAAGATGCATGTATATATGTAATGTTTAAAAATTCCTTTGTATTTATCAATATATTTACCCTTTTTTCTCTCTTGCTTCCTGTAGAGCTGAGTTTCTATGTTACTTTTCTTCACCCTAAAGAATATTTAGATTTTTTTTTGTAACACAGGTCACTGTGGCCTTTCAACTGTATCTGTCTGAAGTTTTACTTTGCTTTCATTTTTTTTTTTTAATTTTTTTTTCAACGTTTTTTATTTATTTTTGGGACAGAGAGAGACAGAGCATGAACGGGGGAGGGGCAGAGAGAGAGGGAGACACAGAATTGGAAGCAGGCTCCAGGCTCTGAGCCATCAGCCCAGAGCCCGATGCGGGGCTCGAACTCACGGACCACGAGATCGTGCCTTGGCTGAAGTCGGACGCTTAACTGACTGCACCACCCAGGCGCCCCATTTGAAGGATATTTTTATTAGATATAGAATTCTTGGCCAGCTTTTTTTTTTTTTTCCCCCAGGATTTAAAGATACAGTTTGCTTGTTTTTTGCCCTCCTTTATTTTGTGAAGTAGCCTCCTCTTCTTCCTCTTTTCTCCCAAGATGAGAGCAGTCAGGAATCTCTTCAGTCCTAGGGCTAAGCATTTTCTGGATTTTCAGATCATGAGCTTTCTGCATCCTCAGCCCTCTGATGTACTTTCAGAAAACACTAAATTTTGTAGATTATCTAACTTATCCTCAGTGTTAGGATGGAATTAATTTTCTCTTGCAACTTTCTGAAGTGGAAATGGAAGACCAGTACAATACCGATTGAATTGATATTGCTTAAAATCTTTTTATTACTCTTAATTAGATTTTTTCTGGTATTCTTACAGTCGTTTTCCTAGTGAATTTTATTTTATTATTTATTAATTTTTTTAAGGTTTATTTTTGAGAGACAGAGTGTGAATGGGGGAGGGGCAGAGAGAGAGACAGAAACAGAGACAGAGACAGAGACAGAATCTGAAGGAGGCTCCAGACTCTGAGCTGTCAGCACAGAGCCTGACCCAGGGCTCGAACCCATGAGCCGTGAGATCATGACCTGAGCTAAAGTCCAGTGCTTAACCGACTGAGCCACCCAGGTGCCCCGATTTTATTATTTTTTAAAATGTTTATTTGTTTATTTTGAGGGAGCATGCACAAGCAAGCAGGGGAGGGACAGAGAGAGAGGGAGACAGAGAATCCAAGGAGTCTTCACACTGTCAGTGTGGAGACTGACACAGGGCTCAAACTCACGAACCATGAAATGATGACCTAGCTGAAATCATGAGTCGGTCGCCCAACTGACTGAGCCACCCAGGTGCCCCTAGGTTATTTTTTTTAAATAAGCTCTGTGCCCAACATGGGGCTTCAACTCATGATCCTGAGATCAAGAGTCATATGCTTTATGGACTCAGCCAGCCAGGTGCCTTTGAAAGATTAAAAAAAGAAAAAAAAAAGATGGATGTTAAGTTTTATTAAATACCTTTTTATCATGAGAGATGAATAATTTAACATACTTTTTGCTAATATTTTAATGGTATGTTCAGGAATTTTTATCACAGATAATTTTCATCAAATTTTTCTTATATTTTACATGTACCTATTATTTTAATAGTTATAACAATTCTGTTTTGTTTGTTACAATCACATTTAGAGTTAACTGAATTAAATCCCTTTTTACCATTTCTCCATTTTATAAATTCTTCATTGTTAAATTTTTAAATTATTTATTTAATTTTCTTGAGAGACTGAGAGGGCACAAGTGAGCAAGGTGCAGAAAGAGAGAGGGAGAGAGAATCCCACAAGGGGCAAAAAGGGAGTGAGAGAGAAGTGGGGCTTGTGCTCACCCATAACAGGGCTCAAACTCACGAACAGTGAGATAGTGACCTGTGAGATAGTGACCTGAATCACAGTCTGATGCTTAACCAACTGAGCCGGCCACGTACTCCAATAAGTTCTTCATTTTTAAATTTTTTTTTTTAACGTTTATTTATTTTTGAGACAGAGAGAGACAGAGCATGAACGGGGGAGGGTCACAGAGAGAGGGAGACACAGAATCTGAAACAGGCTCCAGGCTCTGAGCTG